TAACATAACATAACATAACATAACATCACGCCTTTTATCCCCGAAGGGGTAGGCAGAGGTGTACATTATGCCACTGTACAATGTAACACCCACTTTTCACTATTTATGTTATGAGTCCCATGTAATAGGGGGTGAGCCTATTGCCATATACCGGGCACAATTCCAGACTCCGTGCTACTACTGGGAATTTTTTGAAAAACCCAGTAATACTTTGCCCGACCCGGGAATCGAACCCGAGACCCCTTGCCCGGCAGTCGCACTTGCGATCACTCGGACAATGAGGCAGTCTATATATATTACTTCTTCATGGATAAAGGTGTTATACTTTCCGAAAATTTTAAAACAACTACCACTAAAGATTTCTAAGAAACAAGACAATTACATAGTACTAATTTATTCCTACAGACTTAACAAATAAAAACAAATCTAGCCCAGACACGGTACAGTGACGTTCATTTTACCTAGTAACCTCACGGTAGCGCAGTACGGCGGCGCCAACTTTCCAGGAATTTTAATTTCCTTCGACGGGATATCTGTACATAACTTTATTTAGTCGATGTGACACACCCATTTTGTAAGTAAACTGGCCATAAATAAATTTATTCTGAGTCAAATTGAAGATTTGAAGTAGACTAAGTCAAAGCGTATATTGCAACCAACGCTGCTCAATTTTAGGTCGCGCTTAAGTATAGTTCTGTCACTACAAATTCTTTGTAAAATGACAGAGATGGCACGATATTTAAGTACAACTTAAACTTGAGTTGCCTTAGTATTAGGGCGTGTACAGATGATGGTTGCAGAATTATTATAGTGCTTAACTTAGCGGCCTTTTATAAATATTGCAAACTAGCTTCTGCCCGCGACTTCGTACGCGCAATCCCGATATTTCCCGTTTCCGTTCTTGATTTTCGGTAAAAAGTAAAAAAATAAAAAGAATTAGGTAAAAAGTATTCTATGTCCGTCTCCTGGTTCTAACCTACCTCCCCACCAATTTTCATCCAAATCGGTGTAGCCGATCTTGAGTTATAAATAGTGTAACTAACACGACTTTCTTTTATATATATAGATAGGTAAACTAAACATATCATCATCAACAGCCTATAAATGCTCACTGCAGAGCAAAGCCTCTTCTCACACGGAGGTTTGAACATTAATCACCAAGCTTGCTCAATGCGGGTTGGCGATTACAAACTTATAATTAGAAATTATAAGCCCAGTTTCTTCACGATGTTTTCCTTCACCGTTTGTCAGTGGTATCTAGATAATCTTAGAAAGTACATATAACCCGGAAAAAGTCACATTTGTACTTGCCGTTGGTAGGTTTCGGGCCCCCATGACTAAACTAAACGTATATTCCTAGATAACGTCACGCCTTTTGAGCCCCGAAAGGTCAAATACTTTTAAATTTTAAGTGTGGGAGAGCCATGCTTCAACAGGAATGGGCCGGCTCGACCGGATTGATACCGACGTGAAACAACTCTTGCGTTGTGTTTCATCGTGTGAGTGAGGTTATGGAGGCCCAACACCCCCCCCCATTCCCCACCCACCCAGGGGAGATTGGGGAACCCCTTCCCCAATCTCCCCAATCTCTGAATCTCAAACAATCCTCAAAAAGCCGGAAACGCAGTTGTAATGCTTCTGGTGTTCCAGGGCGACGGTGATTGCTCAACTTCAGGTGAT